TCAAACATTTGCATTTTTTGTGGTGAGAAAAACGTTAACTGTTTATTCTAGTAAGGAAATAATCGACTAATTTCAATTAAAAAATTCTTAGCAATCAAAGAAATAACTCAACTCAGTCTCAAATCCTCACATCTCATAGGCCTCCGATGTCTGCAACCGAGTTGTTAACCCTCGCCCCGTTGGGGGGGGGGCCATTTTGGCCCCCCCCTGTGGTTTTTCCTGAATAGCAAGAAAACGGCGGCGCGCAGCGCCGCCAAATTTTCAGTACCTTTCCGGGCATCAATTTGACACCTTCACACCAAATTTCAAGTCTTAGGTCACCTTAGGTCAGGAGTTATTGAGGTCAAACTGAGGTCATGTTCGAGCAAAAATGAGCAAAAAACATGCAATCTTGAAACGCTCACCAAATCTACAGTCATCAAGCAATTTCAAAGTTCTTTATATGGTCTAATAGACAAAAAGCGGCGCTACAAAACTGCAATCTCGGATTTTCAAAATTTTGGGTTTTTGACGCAAAAAAATTCAAAAAATTGATTTTTTTAGAAAAACTAAAAAAAAATCCAAAATTTTTCCGAATTTCGAAAAAAACGGAATATATGTGATAGTCCCTGCGCTCTTCTATATACATACCAAATTTCAGATCGATATCTCGTTTTTTGGCCAAGTTATAGCGAAAAAACTGTTCAAAAATGATGAGTCAAATTTTTGAACTCAATTTTTAGCGATTCTAGACCTCGTACGGCAAAACAAAGACCACCATTGAACTCCCCGTGACGAGCTGCATCGATTCGATACCCATTTTATGCAAAAATATCAACTTTGAAATTTGACCTTATTTGACCTGACCTTGACCTGACCTTGACCTGACCTTGACCAAAACGTGACCTAAGCTGGCCCCAAAGGCTGCCTGACCCACATAATCGCATTTGTCATGTAAAATGGACCATAAAACATGTATCACACGACACTTTCATATTGTGACCCCCCAGTGACCTGACCTCAGTGACATGACCTGGTATCAGTGACCTCAACTAGCAAAATATGTGTTTGAAGAACATTTCCCCATCGATGATTTTCAATGAAATGCATTTTACTCGATTTTACAACGCATTTCTTGAAATGCCTGTAAACGGTGAAAATTGGACCTTTGACCTGACCTGTGACGTCATCGGTTTGACCTAGGTCAATAAAATTGGGTCACAAGGTAGTTCCCTGATAGGGCTATCCAACACCGTTTGCCGCTTGTCGCTACGTTGCGTGGTTCTCGAGATCTTAGGGGGGGGGCCAAAATGGCCCCCCCCCCCAACGGGGCGCGTTGCTCGGCAGAGCCCAACGGGGCGCGGGTTAATAGTGTTTACTAGCTGCAGATGTGACTATCAGTTTGGTTTGAGCAGATCCCTAGCAACTTCGTCGTGGCCGTGCTGCTTTGCGCAGTGTCTTGATGAGCCCCTAGGAGACAGACTGTGCCGCAATGCCACCGCCAACGGCTATAAACCCAACCAGCTCGGTACGACGACCTTATCGTTACATAGGTGGCGGAACCGGGGACGGGGGGGGGGGGGCACCGGGGCACCGTGCCCCCCTTGATTTTGCCATTTTAACATTAGCCCTATGGGTGTTGCATGGAAAGAATGGGCAGTGCCCCCCCCCCTTAATTGAAGGTGTTTCGCCGCTACTCTTATCAAGTCGGCCGTTCCAGCTTAGCAATCTTGAGAGCACCGTCAAAGCTGTTCCACTAGCACCGGCAAAATTACCCCGCATTGCCACTCTGAAAAGTTTTGTCTACAAAGTCGTTATGGTTTTACGGAAATACATGAAATTACTATTTGAAACGCTGAACATCCTAAGCAATGGGACCACAATGTCAAAATTTGTCTACAGCCCGAATTCTACATGCCAGGCATATAATTTTTTGAACGGAAGTAAAAGTTACCATTTTCTAATCAAATTTAGGTATGTTTTACTGATTTTGAAGAAAATTACGAAGGGGAGATTTTTGAGGAAAAAAAAATTCCTACGGATTCCTCATTTTATGTTGACCGCAGTACAATATACCTACGTGTTAAGATTTCTTTAAACATCGAAATATAAAAACTAAACAATTTAATACGTTGTACGTATCAAATTGTCAATCAAATGAATACCGATGTGCTGGAGGCAGGAGGCCACGCCGGTATTTAGTTAAAATTGCCGTAAGCCAAGGTGCTTTATTTGGTTTCCATGGTTACTGACGCTATTTCGCTTGCATTTCGCGAGCAGAGAAGCTGAAAAGTTGAAACAGATTCAACTTTTCAGCTTGCAACTCGCGCCGGACTGATTTTGCTTGCGTTTCGCTCGCGTTTCGCTCGCGTTTTCCGAGCAGGATCCGGCGTGATTTCGCGGCGTAAAAGCGAGACGACCTGCGTGTTGGGAGCTGAAAATATGCCATGCATTGCAATGGGAGAAGCGAGACGCGATTTGCGAGCTGAAAAGCTGTGTTCCGGCCTTAATACTTCACCAAATATTTCACCAAAAGCACCAATTAATTTAGGGCGCTAAGTTTAGAAGTTGTCATGCAGGTGCAACAAACTTTCTCGCGACCAGCGTAGGTTGTGCCGGGACTAGATGGAAAATCTTGAGGTGGGAGCGCAGCCCGACGTATAGTGTCGCTGTCGTGTAGATCCGGCTGGCAGGATGCTCAGATGTCTGCTGTCATGTCAGATGCAGCATCGGTGTGATGGCTCAAGATTGTCAACGAACAACGTATGCCATCACTCAGAGGGGCTAAAAGAGGACCAGACCTAGGTACTGCTCTAACTTTTCTAATATTTTGTTTATTTATATGCAGTTATCGAAAGTTGTACGGCGTCTTGTGGTTATAAACACGTTTGCCGCTGATTCTGACATATTACACTGCAGCATATCTTGCTGGTCTACCGGTTTTGTCAACCGACACGCAAATATGTCGGGGACTTCGGACCATATTTGCTTATTTCACTATCTTGCCATGTTTAACTCGTGTGTACACATCGCATTTTTAGCTTGTATCTTGAGATAGCTGTTGTAAATTGAGGTAAGTGTTCTGCGTTTTGGCCCTGCAGTTAGTATTTAGATGTAGAGTTAGGTCCATGTAGGTTCCTCACCTAGAACGTATTTCACCAGCGTTCCTCTTCACCAGTTTCGTTAGAGACATTAACTCGTACAGAATACAGCCACTCCGCTCTTGGGAAAGTCGGCTCTGTCTAAGACCTACATCATGAAGGCATTCGCGGTTAACTTATGTGCCTCCTCCACCCTTTCAAACCGCTTTGGCGCGGTGCGGTGGCAGAATTTCCACGTTCCCACGCTTCTGGAAGCCCCATCTCCCTTTGCACATCTCAGGGGCGGGGTATACCTCAGCTCCCCGGCACAGTACCCTGTGGGGCCGGAGCAGGGAACACTCAATCCCCAGGACACGCGTCAGCGCGGCTGCCGGGGGCCGGAGCTGAATCCAGTGGCCACGCGCTGGGGATGGTCAGCCAACTCACTGCGCACGTACCCCCAGAGAGGCCGTCCCTTCTCATCAGCACGCCTGGATGGGGTTATGTGCTGCTGGGGTCACGAGAGAGGCCGCCTTGGATGGGACGAGGAAGAGAAAAGGCTAGCAATGGGAGGTCTAAACAGTTTACAATTGATTGAGCCGATCGTGGGTTTGTTCTGCGATGTTTGGGCGATGATACGATGTTCCCAAGGCTGGCTTGTCATGTTTTCGGTCTATGGATGTGTTTAAATCTTTGTGTTTATGTTGGCGATGCTGCTCAGTTCAGTCAGCTGGGAGTTCATCTGTTGATAATTCCTCCTTTCAGTCACTCCCCACGACCTAGGCTGAGCAGCGGTTGTTCCCTAGCGGAGGTAGGAGCCAGCGGGTCCCTCCCGACTCGCCGACTGCAGCCTGGGACACGGCTGGCTGCAGTGGGGGCCGCGGACCTGACGCCGGTCCGCCGGCAGGCGTCACGCAGCGTCCGTCTGACGGCGCACCTGTCCGCGCCGGCACGCGGCCCATGTAAATGGCGGACGGACGCGCGGCGGCACCTCCGGCTCGGCTGATTAGACACGTGTCGACGGCGGGGCATGTCTCCGGACGACACCGACTGACGACACCGGCCGCAGGTGGCCGCCGCGCCGTGACCGACGGACGGGCCGAGAGATGGCCCGCCGGCCGGCCGCCCCTTCCGTGTGACCGTGTCTGACGGCCGCGCGGAGCCGCGCCGAGCCAAGGTGTGGCCGCCCGCCCGCGTGAGCGACCCGCTCAGCGCGTGAGCGACCGCTACTCGGCCGCCGCTAACCGCAGGCAGCTCGGTGGGTAGGGCCGCTCTTGTGACCAGCGCGCGCGTGCGCTCATCTGATGGCGTGTTCCGGTAGTAGGGCCATGTTCCGGCCGGCGCGGGCAGCCGGCAGCGGCGGCGATTGACTTGTAAAGTCGGCCGGATGGTGTCGCTTATGACGGGGCGGCGTTACCATCCGGCGTCGTTCGGGCCGCGCGGGGCCGGCGACGGTCATTTGAATGACGCAAGGCGCCGGCACCGGTCGCCAATGGCTCCATTATTCATCGAGCCTCTGCAGTCGGCCCGTCCTGTGAACCGGCGCGCGCCGCGCCCACTCTGCGTTGACCCGTAGGCTGAGTTTCCGGTGTGTCAAGGGCGAGGGCGGTGCGGTTGACCTGGACTGCAGGAACTTTTGACGGCCTCCTCTCAACACTGGCTGGGTGGGGTGCAGTGGGCGGAGAGAGTCCCGTTGAACCGCGTGCCGTCCTAGGCTCGGCACTCGACAGTCGGGAGTGTCTCCCAGAGATCCACTATCTAGCCATGCACCCATATGGACATCGGCCCCTTCTGCTGGCGCGTTCCATGTAAGTACTTTGACGGCGGCCGGTCGCGCGCGGCGCCGTGCCGCTCCTCCAACTGCCGCGCCCGTGTCCGTGTCATCGGCCGTCAATCATCTGCGGCGATAGCTGACTGACTTCCGCCGTGTCTGTTTGACAGGTGCCGCGCCAGCCTCCTACCATGGCGGAGGAGTACAAGGACCTGGAGAACCGCATCACCAAGCTGAAGTGGGTGAGTACCGACGTCGGCAGGTGCAGTGGCAGCGGCGGCAGCGGCAATCCTCGGTAGCGTGGTCCGAATACGGGGTAGAGTGAGGCAGCTACTGGGAACGGGAGCACGGGGTCGGCGACTGCTGAAATTGTAATGACCAAAGGGGTGACGGAGTTGAAGAGTTGGGATCCGGTAGGTGGGCGGAGATGCTAACTTATAAATAAAGTCTTTGGGATACGAGGTTGATAAACTTGCGTTCTGTTGATGATCATAAGGATTATGCTGCTGCCGCTGCTGATGATGATGATCTTGTGTATGTGATTTCTTTCTGTATGATGGTATTTTACATTGGTAAACGATAGACCACTAAATTTATTTCAATTATTTTATAAGGCCAACACTATGATGCAAGAAGTATGAGACGTGAGCATGAATGTCCTAATACCCCTTTCTGACGTAATGATTTTCTTCCCGGAAATCCCGCGAGTTGACAGCTGGTAGATGCTTTGATGTTTACATATCGTTCGAACGTGTTCATCTGAACCCGGACCGGTGTGAGCTTCCCGATGGGTGCAAACATATTAAAATACAGCAGCTTTAGGTTGCATAAGGTTCCGAACAGCGTTTGAATCCGGCGTACGTCATGTTAACTCGCTGTCGGACGTATCGGCTCATTAATTACGGCTGCGCGACGGTAGCCCATCCGGTACGGGCGCGGTGAGGTCCGTCCCATCACGGATCTGTCGCTCCCCGTGCGTCCGGGGGCCTCGGCTGTAATCGTGTCGTCCGTTGGTATCGCCTCTGAGGGCCCGGTCAGTTCCGTGCTGGTCCGAGTACCCCGCTCCACCGCCGCCGATATCCCTGATGTAGTTGTGTTGCCGGATTTTGCCCGTTCCTCTGAGTCTGTGCTCTGGAGTGTGGCAGGATTCCCGATCTTGCCCCGCGGGACGGAGATGCAAGCCGGTCTCGTAAATGGAGGCATGTTGATTGCTGAGTAGCGACGCTGTTTGGAAGCGGACCAGGGCGACCTGGGTCAATGACAGGGGCATGTGTTGTAGGGATCGGAAGGCATATTGGTTCGGCAGACGGAGGGACGACGAAACTGTTTGGGTAGGGGGGGGGGGGGGGTATTCAACACCGTCGCCATTTGTTCATGAATCTGAGTCGCTTACCAAAAGCCGTAGAGCCGAGCTTATCAGGTTTCTTTTACCGCGGTTCGCTCATATATTTCGCAACTATTTGCAAGGCTGTATTGGTGCCCATGTAAATTGCACTTTTTATATGTCTTTACACCCACGCCTTTAACTCTTATCGGTCGCCTTCAAATTCAGACATTCAGTCCATCGGCCTACACCCGTTAATTTCGAATGCTTTTCATTTGTCGTCAGTCTGCTAAAAGCCTCGTGTGCACCCATCTGCTCTGCACCACCGACGCCATCTTAATTTCTACCGTTTCCAGATCTTTGTCAGAATCTCGCTGTGGCCAAGATAACCATGTTCTCTCACACCCGTTTTGTGCCGCGGTAGCCGGATGGCTCGTGGACTCTCTGTCGTCTCCCCCACCGCTGTCCGCTTTCTCACCTCTCCTCTTCTCACCACGCCGGTCCTCAGCTCGAGAAAAACGCGTTTGGAACGCGGACATTCCCTGAAACCCGAACTTTTAGTTCTTAGCGGCCCCGGGCTGGGCAAATGCACGACTCTGCCGCTATTTTATCGTGCCTTCGGCTAGACGCGTGGGCAAGGCGTTACTTCTCAACCGGCGCTCGGCGATATTGCATCATTTGGAGAGCTGAAAACTCGCCGAACGCCGGAGAGATGCGTCTCTGCGCGAAGTCGCATCTTTGATGTGGCCGGGTCTCGTCTTACGGTCCCCCGAAATCGGAGCGCGTGCCGCACGGCGGCGGCGCGGTTCGTACTAACAGGATGACGCCCGTGCGACGCTTACAAGAAAAGCTGCGGCGAGACGGCGGCGATTTTTGTGTGAGGGCGCGGCGAGGGCCAGTTCCACAGGTGGATCGTGCCCATGGGCTCAAACCGTGCCGCCGGCTCCCCGTACTGGGTTCAGGGCGAGGTGGGCGCTAGCCGTTGAGTTGCTATTGATGGCATGCTTGATTTGATTCCGTAGCTAATTGCAAGTGTTTGGTAATGGATAAGAGATGCATGCTGCGAAATATTTAGTTGTATTGTAGCGGTGATCGGCCATCTCCAGACGCAACAGCATACGACAGTGGACTAAAAGTGCCACCATGTTGTGCCTGACATGACCTGACCTGACCCTGCCCTCAGGATGTGATATACCACGAGTGTCAGCCAGTTATACCGGATGTGACCTGACCGGGCCTGATCTGACCTGACCTGACCCGCCCTCAGGACGTTATGGACCACGAGTGCCACCCGGTGGTACCGGACCTCACTCGGCCCAGCTGGAAGACCGAGTACGCGGCGGCCCGCGCGCGCTCCGTCGCTCGTCTCCAGGAGCTCAACAAGGCCGGCCGACAGCTGCGGGATGACGTGGTGCGCTACGTGGCCCGCCACCGGGCCGGGGGCACCGCCTCATCCGACTTCGGCCTCTTCCCGTCGGCTCCTGTCGCTAAGGTGAGTTAACAACACCCCCAGAGGCACCCCGAATTCCGGAGGTACTCACGGCGCGTGACGGCACAGCTGGGTCATGGACGCGGGCCTGGCGCGGTGCTGAGCGTGTCAAGTGGTCGCCTGACATCGCTCAGGCGGCCCTGTACTGACAGAAGTGCCGACCGCCGTCGGTACAACCCGTGTTGCGGGATGGACAGGAGTCACGATGTATGCTATCGAAGACGTGTAGCGTTGGTTGTTTGCTGGGTAGATGTGAGAGAAGAGTGGCAGGGCTGTCATATTGTTGCAGTTCCGTCAGTAGCAGTGGTTGTGTGCTGTCTGTAACGGCATCTTTGTAAATGAGCAGTCAAGCTCATTTTGTTTAAGTCATGTATTTCTAGTAAATAGGTAGTACCCGGTTTGTTTATCTCACAACACCATGAAACAAAAACAAACAGTCGTGTTTGGCGGTATGGATTTGGACACGGAAGATCCCATGATCGGCGTGTTGTGGGTTTCTATCAGGACTGACACGGCGTCCCGGCACCGGTCACATGAGGGCTGGTCGGAGAGAGGAAAGACACGGCCATCTGATGGTGACGGTCTCCGTAGGCCGACCCCATCACTTCCGCGTGTCGACTGACCGCTCCTTTGACTGTGGGACACCGCCAGCTTGGGGGGAGATCTTTGATGTGGTTTGGTTCGAGCGAACAGGCGAGGAAGGAAGGACCGAGTTAATCGGAACACGCTGCTACGAGCTGGGGCTGTTGTGATTGTTAGGAGTATCAGTTTGACGTATGATTTAATCATATTAACAAACTCTAATTGGTGGAATTTCTTCCTTCCTTCCTCCAGAAATTCCACATGACGCGTTGCTAATCGCACCTAATGTAGATTGGTGTGATAGTAATTAGTTCACCATTCGGCTCATGACCTGGGTATGCATTTACCATAGCGATAGCAATAGAGACGCTGTCGGCGTTGTGGCCTGGCCCGTGTTAAACGCTCATCGCTCAGGCTCTACCAACTAGTCCTTCTCTGTTTTTCAGGCAGGTGACTTCAGCTGATCGAGCTGACCTGTATGCTATAAACGCTGCCACCCAGTACAGTACCTCTCTCCCTTCCTGACGGGTGACCTGGCCCGACCTATTTTACAGACGCTGCCGTCAAGCCCGTCGCAGCTGCTGTACTAGTTGACCTGACATGACCTGACCCGTGTGTTCGAAATACTGTCCTCCGCCCCTCTCATCCTGTGCTCGGTGACCCGCCCTGACCAGGGTTGGCATTTTTGCCGGCAAAAACTAGTTTATGCCATTTGCCGGTTTAAACCGGTTTTAACCGGCAAAAAGTGGCAAAAACTGGCAAAAACTAAAAACCAGCACAATGATATGCCTAGGCATGGATTTAAAGATGAAACATTTTTAGGAGAATTCGGTGAAAGCTTTATGCTTTCAACCAGAAGTGACATTGACCGTTGAAGTGTTCTATAACTCAAAAACATTTTCATGGGCTTTCCATAAGGCGCCTTTTGGGGGTGACAAATGAGCCAGTGCAAGAGTGAGTCCTGCACAATCAGAAGTGTGAAGGGGTATCTGCCACTGATATGCGCACTGCACCCTACCGTGGCAGCCTTGCCCCACTCCCCTACATGGAAATACACTCTGTGGTGGATGCCTACTGACATGCATAGACATTTTAAGCAGGGATAAGTAATGAGGCAAACTTCAGAATGTTTGGTGCATCTCTATAACATCAAGAAATGCATTTGTACATTTCAGATCCATTCCTAACTAGAAAAGTTGTGGTTTGGCCCACCTGAGTTTTATCCAGTTTTTGCCAGTTTTTGCCACCGGGGTTTCTGCCAGCCGGTTCAAACCGGTTAAAACCACTGGCAAAAACCAGTTTTTGCCACCCCCTGCCAACCCTGGCCCTGACCTAACCGGTGTGTTCCAAACGTTGTCGTCGGGCCCCTCTTATATGTTCAGTGACATGGCCTGACCTGACCTGACCTGATCCGTGTATTCCAGTCGCCGTCCTCTGGCCCCTCTCATCTGCCGTGATCAGTAGAGTGTATCGATTTGAGGGTTTTTATTCCAGATTGAGAGGAAACTGTCAGATAAAGTGGCGCTATACATTTGTGAGTAAGAAAAACACAAAATCAGTGTCCTGCAGTCAGTTTTGTCTGGTCCGCGCCCACTTCTTTGAGACCATCTCGCCGTAACACGGGCTCCTATGGGAAAACCTACTAGCGCCATCTAGAATTGTAGATGGCGCTAGCGTCGGCACGGCGTTTTAACGATTTTAGGACTAAAGTACGTATCGCTAAAGTACGTAGGACAAAAGTACGTATGCAAATGTTCGTACGCAAATATACGTAGGCGATAAAGTTCGTATGCCAAAAGTACGTACGCAAATGTTCGTACGCAAAAGTACGTATGCAAAAATGCGTAGTGCATAAAGTACGTATGTCAAAAGTACGTACGCAAATGTTCGTACGCAAAAGTACGTATGAAAAAGTACGTAGTGCATAAAGTACGTATGCTAAAAGTACGTACGCAAATGTTCGTACGCAAAAGTACGTATGCAAAAGTACGTAGTGTAAAATGTACGTATGAAAAAAGTACGTACGCAAATGTTCGTACGAAAAAGTCCGTATGCAAAAGTACGTTGTGTATAAAGTACGTATGCCAAAAGTACGTACGCAAATGTTCGTACGCAAAAGTACGTATGCAAAAGTACGTAGTGTATAAAGTACGTATACCAAAAGTACGTACGCAAATGTTCGTACGCAAAAGTTCGTATGCAAAAGTACGTAGTGTAAAAAGTACGTATGCCAAAAGTACGTACGGCTCGTATGCCAAAGTACGTAGTGTATAAAGTACGTATGCTAGAAGTAGGGTATAGTAGTGTAAGTTGAGCCACTTGTTCTTTATTGCTGCTCTGTTGCCATACTACAGGGAACTCATGATAAATTCATATACCAAATAATATAGCTTTGTCCATTTCGCCTATTTACTCATCGAGAAATTTTGCTATGCCTTGTAACAAATGCTCATTAAATAAAGAATGAGAAAGGTATTACCTACACATTGATCAACTTAACCCAAGGGTGGGGTACGTAGGGGAAGGTGGGGTAAGACGGACCAGCTAAGGTTTGAGGCCGCATATCTTGCTACACTGCTCTCGTAATTCATATTATTTATAGTCTTCGGAATGCTCAATCCTTCCTCTGTTGATATGTGTAAAGACTAAATTTCAAATTAAAGACATCTAGGTGGTGGATGCTCTTAAAGAGGGACATGTCAAAAACTCAGACAAGAAAAAACGTGGGGTAAGACGGACCACCCAGCAGTGCCTGCTATCCGTTCATGTGTGTTACACTTCTGCTCTGTACTCTTGTAAGAAAAAGTAACCAGAATGGTAAAATAACAAAATGAGCCTTTATTCTTTACTCATGTGTGATGGAAGTGCAGCTAAGCTAAAAGCTGGGAACATGTGTGTTGATTGTCGTTTGGCACGAATGCATGCTAACTGAACACTTGCATGCATGGCTCACATGCAACAAAGACTCCTTCCTGAAAAATTTGCTTACTTAAGCTTGTGTCAATGTTTTGGGAAAGAACTTTCCATATGCAGGGTACAATGGACCACCACAGGGTAAGATGGAACACAGTGGTCCGTCTTGCCCCAAATCTAAATTCTGTCATTATCATGACGTATATGTCAAATAGCCCAACATTGCAAAACCTTGCCTTTCCTAAAGTGTGACTATAACTAAGTTTATAACTTTGTTCTACACAGTTAATTGCAAAATAGAAACTAATCATGCCAGAAAGGCGCCGTAATTGAATCACCCGTAGACCTCTTATATTAGATCGGTTTGACGAAAAACAACATTTTTCTCAATAACTCAAAAGCTATGCATCCTAGCAGCATGAGCTCAAGGTGGCCATTGTTACGAAGGAAAACAAACATAGTGAGTGCATAAAGCAGTAGATACCAGCAGCGGTTCAGCCGGGAGGGCTGGTGGTCCGTCTTGCCCCGCTGGGCCGTCTTACCCCACCTTCCCCTACTTAATACCCTACGTACATTTGCTATACGTACTTTTGTCCGTGACGTACTATTGTCCACACATAGGGTAGACCGGGGCAAGTCTCCCCGCCGAGGTAAAACGCCTCACCGATGTTTCTCGGAACTGGCAGGGTTCTGGGGAAAGATCCTCTCTTCTGTTAACCCGGCCGGGCCCGGGGAGTAATTCCAACCACCGCAGCCCGGGGAGGGGCGTTTTTCGCCCCCTGTCTAACTCCGTAAGTAAGAGAGCTACGCAAACAAAAGCAATACCAATCGAAAGGTCCTTACGAGACGCTTCTAAAGCACTCAAAATTTTTGACCTCAGGTCAATTTCCAAGGTCAGAGGTCAAGGTCAAAGGCAAAAACCGGCACATGTGTAGTGATCTCAAAGTGAGCGTTCTAGAGGACGGCAGGATGCATAAAACCGGTAAAATTGGGTGTCAAACGAAAGAAGAGAATCTGAGAATTCCGAAAATGTACTCAACATCAAAGTTCAAGGTCAAGGTCATGCTCAAAATTGACCTCAAATTTACACTTTTTCGTACATCTTGTGTGTCAACTTCCAAGATGTTTTGAAATGTTTTGAGGCTTATCAGGTCCCTATTTGTGGTTCATCTTACGACACAAGGCTGCTCAAAGGTCAAGGTCACAGAAGAGAGTCCTTGCTAGAGACTATTTCACTGATTCAAGTTAGTAATAATAAATAAGACAATTTTGCCATCCGGAGGCTCTAAATAAAGGCTTAGAGGAAAATAGATGCCAGATTCGTGATCAGCGGGTACGAATCCATCATAAACGACTTTTGATGTGTCAAGGTCAACCAAAGGTCATTCGAGGTCACATGAGGTCAACATAAAGCTTGCCCTTTTCCAAACAAAATATATATCATTCGACGCGGCTTGCCAAGACAAATGCGATGGTACCACTGCCGTAGCTTTAGGACCATTTTTGTC